CCCCCCCCCCCCCCCCCCGTGGCACAACGGTATGTCTGCGGATTTACAACGCTAGAAACCGGATTTCAATACCAGTGGTGGGCAGAGCACAATTAGCCCATTGTCTAGCTTTGTGCTTAACTTCAAACAAACAAACAATTGGCAGGCTATAAAAATAAAGTGAAATTACTGAAATTTTTATATAATTTTATAATTACAGTTTAAAACTTTTCAAGAATAAAAAACTTCAAATTATCTAAGCTTTCCAAACACAATTTATATGCTTACTTTTTGTTTTATTTAACGACTAAATTTACTTGCGTTAATAAAGGTTATAAGCAATATCGTTGAATGTTACTTGTTAATTAAGCTCGACGAGCTTGCTTGTGGAACAATACATTGGTTTGTCTAGATTTGATCTGACCAAGGTTAGCTTGCCGGATTGTGGGTTCGCCGAGGGTCCATGGTTCTCGTCCCATTGCCACAAAATCATACTCTGCACTTTGAGGCTGCGGGTGCATTATAAAAGTGACGGTCAAATACCACTATTCAATTAGAGTAGCCCAAGAGATGGCGGTGGGTGCTGTTGACTAGCTGCCTTCCATCTCGCGTATCATTCCGAAATTAGAGATAACTAGCTCTTGTATAATTGCTTTTCGCGAATATCCAAAACAAAACAAACCGTCTAGATTTCACTTATTGTCATCAGTTTCTTGTTGACGGGTGGAAAGGGATCGAAACATTATTTTGTACCACAAATGAAATGAATATAAGTACATACAAACTAAGTGAAGAACGCCTGTATGTCATTCCACTTATCTTCTCTTGTAACATTGCTGTTTCGGACGAATTTATTTTGTAAGTTCAAGTCATTGAGTGCAGTTATTAGGTCGTCAAGAAATTAATGTTGCGTTTTGGAACACTGTCATTAATCACCCCCAAAAAACGTACATGCGTATAATAGTTAAACGAACCGCCTAAACGTCACGTTAGTGTAGCTTATATAATGTATAAAGTTTAGTTTATTCTACTCCCTGATAGTGATGACACACGACGAGACACACACACACACATTCGGCATGTAATGCTGTTTGAATATAAGAAGGGAAACAATGCCTCTGTAGCCACAAAGAATATCATAGAAG